GCCTGTGTTATGTTAGATTGAGATTGTTTTATTTCTTTTAACTTTAATGTATAATATCACAAAATAATAAGTGTCACGCTCAGTTAAATAAAAAGTTACATTAAAGCTTAGAAGCTATTTACCATCTATCCATAAATACAAATTTTAAATTGTATGAGTATCATTTTACCTATATAGAATAAATTAATATTCGAAACTATCTTTTTTTTTTTTTTTTTTGTTTTTTGAAAATCAATAATATGAAAAAGAAGGCAAAGGAATGGAAAACCATTTCAGAAACTTAGTTTGTACCATCTGGGCGCAAGAAGATACTTCAGTAGAACTTAGAAAGGCGCCTCAGTTTGCGCCCCCCCTACTGTTATTTCCATACTTAAAAATACTCTTCCTCTAGTTCTTCGAAATCAGTTTATCTCTCAGGCCATGGTAACTTTCAATAGACATTATCTCTGTTTTAAAGAAATTCTATGATAAATCATCGGTGTTATCAGTTAGTATTACCGATAATTAGCACGATGTGGGACCATTAGGATTGAATTATCATCTAGATCTTTCGGAGGTTATCTTTAATCTATCCCAGGAATTGGTTATTTTTTTCTTGACTCACAGTGATAAGGAGATATTTGGTTCATAATGGATCAAAATTCTTCAGATTATTTTCCTATATCGTGTGCAGTATTAAAATAACGAACAGTGGCTTAATTTTTTTTAATCATCATTTTTTCCCTAGATATAATTATCTCGTTTTTTCTTTAAATACTTTGTAATCGAATGTTTCAAAGTCATTTATCCTGATATTTATATAATTATTTATATATGATATATAATTTTGGTTATTGGTTTCAGTTGTTTTAAACCGAATTAATTTCTTTCATCAAGAGAAAAAAGGACTGCCTTTTACCTTGCTTAAATTCATCTTTATTGTAGATTACAATTGTCCTGACTAAAATTTTAAAATATCTCAGAAAGTTCTCATAGACATCAGTGTTATGTTTAATGAGCTAAATTTTATTTTTCTAATTATTCAAATTCATACAACTTGGTTTCTTATTTCCATTTCGAAATGTGAAAATTCTAATTTAATTGGTCCCTATTATTACGCATCCAATCCTTCCAGTCCAAAGTCCTTCGAACAATAGTTTATGCTCCTTTCTGAGCAACCAACGAAACCCTACACCTTGACTTCAATATCCCTTCTGTCCTAGACCTTATCCCAGAAAAATTCTCCAAATTTCACCAGAATCTTACCTATCATCCGAATCATAATAGTATATATAGGTATTTATGTGTTTTATTTATTTTTAAGATGTTTTATTCTTATTTAATGTACGTAGGGTGTGAATGTGATCTCTGAACACTATTATAAATGTCCTTTGAGACATTGTAATATTTCTCTATAAACAAGTTCTAAAAAAAAAAAATTATAACAAATTGGTCTCACAACAATTGTAGCTGTAAGCTTTAAATCAATATTAATAACTGGCATTTTCACTTTTTGTTGCGAACTTTGTTTAAGAACGCTTAAATTGAAATTTTAACAAATTGAAATCAAATACAGAAGTGAACTCAATAATGAGTGGCTTTAAATTAATTTAAAATTGGTTAGGAAAAAATTTTTAAAAAATTTAAGAGAAGGGTAAATTAAGTCGACTATTGAATTATTAGTATGAGACAGAATTGTCAGGAATTTCAGTAAAAATTTCTTTTATGACAGCCGACGTTTCGACCTAGTCATGTAGGTCATCATAAGTGCCGTCGTTTGGAAGTCTATACAATAACTCATTAAACATATATTGACTGAAATCCCTGACAATTATGTTTCATCCAGAAAAAAGTATATACAATCTAGCCAAGAACCTTATTTAAGGTTGACACTTTTATGTATCATATAATATATATTATGTGTCGCCTGGAAATGACTTTGACCCGGTAAGGATGGATCAATGAAATCACAGACGGTGAATGAGATAAAATATTGTCAAGCAAGGAATGAAATTAAAAAATTCCTACAAAAGCAAACGTTTAATGAGCAGACAATTGTTGCTTTAGGTAAACAATGGGCCGTGTTACTTGAAGAAGATGCATTCCAATTGATAAACCGCCTAAAAACTCAGTTGATGAATTCAGGATAATCACCGGCTATGATTATTTAATAAAACATTTACATAAAATGGGTGTAGAGGAATTTCATGACTGTAATCTCTTCAACAACGCGTTCTCCTTGGGTACGGCGCACGATTGAGTTATGTTCTGGTTTTTTGGATGTTCACCAAATGAACACCAAATTCCTCAAAACCAAACATTCTCTGCGCTGCTAGAACTCTTAGCCCTGGAGCCAGGGCCCAAAAATCGACCTGATCGCAGGCGAAGGTTTGATTGTAAATTACGAAAGTGTATGTTATTCTGAGTAAAAAAAACCTTGTCTGCCGTTCCGGAGCCGCTGCTTTCAAAATTGGCGGCTGATTTAAAGAATATTAGGCCAATAGTTTGAGGATCGAAACGGGAAATCCATTGCGAAAAATGTGAGAAAAGTTTCTATTTTTTTAAGATGTATATATGGGCTTAGACATGTAAAAAACAAAATTGCTAACGCAGGCCACCAAGGGAAAACTTTTTGCAGCCAAAAAAGTCAGATTTTTTCGATATTTTTTGGGTTTTTCATCTATAACTCCTAAACAATGCATCAAAGCGAAAAATATGTTCTTTAATAAATTAAAGAACGTTAAATTTTGGGTCAAACGAGTCAAAAATACTTTAAAATTTGGTTTCGCGGTAAGGTATAAAACCACGGTCAACCAACTCTGAGTTTTACCAAATTTGCCAAAAACTGGAACAAATTACTATAAATGGCTCTGTAACTTGGAAATGAGTTCCCTAAGAGGAAAACCCCATAGAATCAAAGTTGTAGAGCATCAAATTTCGCGTATACTCAGTATCAACTAATTTAATGTAGGTCACTTGCTGCGAACGAAATCGGTAATGTCCCGATAGCTAGAAATTGGTAATGAAGGTAAACGTGATTTTCAATATTCCAACAGTATGGGTGTCTATTCTACTGAGTTAGCTTTGTTTAAAGTCTGTTACATGCTGTATAAGCCTCTCTTCCACCTCTCAATAGCAAAAGATTTTGGTAAACGATGTGCCGAAATATACCGAATTTATAAAGGAATAACGAATAAAAATGTCAAGAGGCCAACAATAAAAATGTCAGTACTCAGTATACGCAAAATTTGATGCTCTACAACTTTGACTCTATGGGTTTTTCCTCTTAGGGAACTCATTTTCAAGTTACAGGGCCATTTATAGTAATTTGTCACAGTTTTTGGCAAATTTGGGAAAACTCGGAGTTGGTTGACCGTGGTTTTATACCTTACCGCGAAACCAAATTTTAAAGTATATGTACTCGTTTGACGCAAAATTTAACGCTTTTTAATTTATTAAAGAACACATTATTCGCTTTGATGCATTGTTTAGGAGTTATAGATGAAAAACCCAAAAAATATCGAAAAAATCTGACTTTTTTGGCTGTAAAAACTTTTCCCTTGGTGGCCTGCGTTAGCAATTTTGTTTTTTACATGTCTAAACCCATATATACAAGTTAAAAAAATAGAAACTATTCTCACATTTTTCGCAATGGATTTCCCGTTTCGATACTCAAACTATTGGCCTAATATTCTTTAAATCAGCCGTCATTTTTTAAAGCAGCGGCTCTGGAACGGCAGACAAGGTTCTTTTTACTCAGAATAACATACACTTTCGTAATTTACAATCAAACCTTTGCCTGCCATCAGATCGATCGCCCTGGCTCCAGGGCTATTGGTTTCTATCTCTAGAAGGTAGAAACCAAAAGTCAAGAGGTAGGATAAAAAAACAAAAAACAGATATAGTAACAAATATTCTATTATATTAGGTAATGTTGTTCTTTCTTGTTATTTTTGGATGATTATTCTCAATATTCAAACTTTGAAATCGATCAAGGTGGAAAAAAAGTTAACCCATGATTAACAGTATCCATCCTCCACAGAAAAAGTGCAAAACGCGCTTAAAGAAATTTTCAATTAAATAATTTCAATCCTGCAATCTAGCGATTGTAATTATAGTTAAATATTTTAATGAGTGGATACAAATATCAGCTGAAATATATGTAAATACAACTGGACTGACAGTTATATTGTTGGTTACAAGTTGTTTGTAAATGCATAAGTGATAACTTGTAATTTAATTAATTCTTATAGGTTTGTTTTCGTTTATTTAGATTGTTGTTATTAATGTATTTTGTTATATAATACCATTGTAATTCTTGTAGATTAATAAAATCAGTTATCAATAAATCAAGTTAAAACTTAATTATATAGTATTGAGTAAAGAAGGAAAGTGCAAACAATGAATGGAACAAACGGATAAAAAAGTACTTTTTTTTTTTTATTATTTATTTAGATATATGATATTCTGTCTCGTGGACAATAATTATAGTGATAAATAAACACATTCGCACCATATATACAGAAAATACAAAATTAAAATAATAACTAAATAATAATAAAAAAGAACTATGTACAATAAAAAAAAATCAAATAAACTAAAGATAAGTAAATTGAAAACATAAAAACACAAGTCATACCTATATACAATCAGGCTGGAAACCCAAAGCCAGGCTTCTCCCTCCAACTATAGAAGGAAAACCAAGCCTCTAAGATATCCCTGCGCTACTTACTCAACCACGTCACTGATGCTAAAGCCAGTGGAGTTTGACCGAGAGTGCTTTAACTAATTATGAACTAGTGGAAATTTTCACAAACCTATAAGAATCCATTAAATTACACGTTATTGCTCATGCGTTCACAAACATAACAACTTGTAACCAACAATATAATTGTCTGTCCAATTACAGATACTAGAGTATTGATTTTCAGATTCGATAGTTAGCATTTGTAGCGACGATAAATTCAAGAATCACGAATATAAATATAGGACTGTTTTCGAATGGTCACATCCAATTCCAGATGGTTGGCGTTCGACCGATTGTTTTAGACATGGCGCTTTTGATTCGGCCGTGCATGTCCCGAACTGATCCATTCCGGCCGACTGATCCCTTTCACCCAGCCCTGCCGTCAGCAATGTCCAGCTCTCGCTACCTTTGCCCTTTGAATTCCACCCCTTGGGCTCCAACCTCCCTCCTCTGCAGTTAGATCTTATTCTTTTGCGGATGTCACCGGGGTTCTAGGCCTGATGAGGAAAACTCGAAAGAAATTATCCTGAAGCCGAAGCAATTTAAACACGAGTCTTTGGTATAAAAGGGTTGGCAATTACCGGTTTTCTTTGAATGTAATATCTTTCTTGTTATTTTTATTTCGTTGAAATGTTGTTTATTGCCAAAGGAGAAATTTCCTTATAATTATCAGCACAGGTTTAACCTTATAATGATATATTATTTTCTTCTTTGTACAATCTTTAATACAAAAAATACTTAAAGTACATTTTCCAAAGAAAACAAAAGAGAAAAATATAAAAAACAAGACAATAAAGAAATAAGAAAACATCATTAAAAAATGGCATGAACACCTGAATGGTTTTTTGGGCATATTAGCCAGTATAACAACTCATACAAATGAAGTGCTTAACAGTTATATTTGATATGATAAGGCTAGATAAGGCGTGAATAATTCTTGCTCGGTGAGTTAATGTAAGGATATTAGGAACTGAAAGAAGAGGGATATTGTTTCTGATGAGAGAATGGTTGAAGGAACACGGTCTGTGAATGTATTTGGACAAGAAAGGAGAACATGGTATTCATAGACTATTGAATGGTCGCAGAATCAATATGGAGAGTCCAAGATGTTTATTATAAAGAGATGGGAAGGTAGGCTATTGTGGTTGAGGTGAAGACGTGATATGGAAGTTAGGAATTTTCTGGAAGCTATGTAGGGTCCGAAACGACGAAATCGTGGGTTTTAAGGTTGGACAACTCTATAATAACTCCCTTTCACGCTGATAGTGTACTCATTTTGCCATTGCTGTAACCAGTATTTATTTAGATGAGACTTTGTATCGCTCGTTGATACGTACGGTCAGAGGTGCTCACAAGGGGGTTTCATGGCGCAAGTTACCTCATTTCATTTTTGAAGGGGGCACATTTCGACGGAATTTTGAATTTTCGGATTGAATAGTTGCAAAGGAAGTGACGAAGAGAATACATGGAACAAACCTCGGCAAGTGTAGCTGTATACAATTTACGGATCTTTTATTTCTAATGTTTTTAAGAAGAGGAGAGCAATAAAATATCTTGGGGAGGGGAGGGAGGGAAATTGATGCGCCATCGACCTTGGAGAGGATGGACACCCCTGCATCGGTTGCCGGTAAAAGCCACTTCTCTAGTAAGCGATATTTCTTGAATTATTCCATTTCTGAAGAGCGATGAATTTGCTCTTAAGTCTGTCAAGAAGGACCCAGCTCTCAATTCCACCTAGTAGGGTGGGAAGATAAATTGCATTAAAAATATTAATTTTTACCATTTTCTCATCTTCACGTTTTCAGCTGTTGCAGATTTGGTAATAATTGCTATTTGGTTTTTTAATCCTGTCGGATTTTTTTTGTTGAATTTCATCATTTCTGCTGGTAACTGTACCTTCTGATAACTATAATGTAGGTATAGTCTTCTGCTGCATTGAGGATTTTTCCACTACACGATTTACCTGTTCAAGTTCAATGGTCGAGTTTTACTTGTATTTATAATCATGCCTTCTCTTTTATTATTACCATTGCCTACTCCGCCTTGGAGGCCGCATGAGGCCTCTGTGGTGTAGTTGCGGCCTCCAAACTTTTTTGAGCTATATTTATTAATCTAGTGCTAGAATTAATTAATATTTAATTATTTAAGTAACGAAAATTTGAAAATTAATAGAATTAAGTTGAGTATATGTATGTGGGTGTGTGTATATTGTAATAAATAAAATTAGGAACGATAAAATATAAAGAATTATTGCGGCCTCCATCAGCAATATGGCTTATCATAAATATTTTTTCTTGATTCTAAAATATATAAATATTTTTAAAAATTTAGGGGATGTGAAGATCTTATTTGAGGAGTTGAATGTTATGGATCATTATTGAAGACTTCTTAGATATTATGATTCTCCTTCTCCTAAAGAGTGGATTATTGTTTAAGCCTTGATGATGATTTAAGGAGACGTCGCAGGACTTGGATGATAAATGATAAAATAAATGATGGTGGAAGGATCGCGTGTTTGCGAAGCGGGCATTGAACCTGTGGTCCCTGTTCTATTATTGGCAACGGATTGCGCGAGATCTGCTCCACTCCCATAGCTATGTAGAAATACCATTTAAGTTTATCTTCTATATTATCGTTATAATTTTTATTTCAATATGACGTAAAGTTAGTAAACCACCAGAGAATACAGCAATCGGTTCCTATAAATCTCCTATTCGAACTTATTAATCCCATAATCGATTAAAATGGTTAAACGCGATTTCTTTCTCAAACAGCTGAAGATTACGAGGATTTGAGTATTTTTTATTAATTCAAGCGTCACTATTTTTTCGTGTTAAATAATCGTTTCTTCCTACGCCCATTTGAACTAACATATTATGCCTGATAGTGTGGTTAACAATGCACTCCGACCTCCCGGTTTATCGTCTAAGTAATGCAAATTATTTTTTTTTACGTTTGAGTGGAAAAAACCTTTCAAATCACGGTTCCCATTCAGACAAATACTTCACAAATTTTCTTTCCGCAGAAAAAAAAGTAATTTGCCAATGCAGGGTTTGAAACATGGTCAGTATTGAAAGTCACCTCCTATCAGCTCTGCCGCCTTGCATAAAGAGATAAAAAAATTACAAATAATTGCAATATCTTAACAGATTGAAAAAAAATTATTTTTATAGTCCCTTTTTAAAAATATTTTTTTTTTACTCCTTTATTGCTAAGAAGCATTGTAATGTAGTTAAAAAGAAAAAAAAAATGTCATTTAATATTATTTACTTGTTTATAACAATACAAACTTCAACATTGGGATATTGAAAACCTTACCACAAATAGTCTTTCCAGCGTTTGGCAATAATGTAACTGTAACTGTATTATTTTCACACCTACATAACAGTTAACAGTTATATTTTCACTTTATATCTGAAATTGGATTCGCCGGGTTGAACTAGGAAGCAGAATGGGTCACAGGATTATCAAGTTACGGCTTCAGCCTTCAAAAAAAAAAAGTCTTCTAAAAAACATGCTGCAATGGTGGCGGTACTTTCTCCGTGACATTTCGACTTGTTGCTATAGTAGTATAAGCATTGCGTAGGTGTTTAATCTTTTTTAATTTTTTTTTATGACACACTATATATATATAAAGGTGTTTTTTACGCCATAACTTCGTCAATTCTTCATCAAATCTAATGATTAACCCCCTCATTTTGAAGATATTCTTCTCCTTCACATGCGAAAAATCGTCCTACCCCCAAAATTTTTGGGAAAAAAGTTATGAAGGAAAAGAAACTTTATTTGCGAATAACTCAGAAAGACTACTAAATTACCTACAAAACAAAAAAAATCGGACAATTATTAACAAAGACACTGTCCATTAATTTTGGTATACTTAATATTGTCCTCCTCTTTAAAGATATTGCATTTAGAAATAGAATAGTCTAATACACTTTTTTCCCTGGCTGTTGTATTAGATTTATTTTTTGTTAAGGGTATTTGTTTTGCATTTTATTTTTTTCAATAATTCAGAAAATCCCATGATCGGGGCATTATTTTGTCTTTATTACTTTTATTATCTTTCCAGTCAGCGTTTAAAAATATGTCGTAGCAAAGCACTTTGTACAAATATTTTGGTCTATTATGTTAAATGGAATATTGTAATCGACCAAGGAAAACATATTAGCTCCTTCCTTACATAATACATAAGAACTACTTATTTCCATATTGTTTTGCTATTTCTTCACTAAACAAAATTTTCTGTGAATTATTCACACGGGCCAACTAGTATATATATTTTGTCATAGCTCTGGAATATTTGTATAAGCGATTTTAGTGTTTTATATATATGTATATATATATATATATATATATATTTTTTTTTTTTTTTTTTTTTTTTTTTTTTTTTTTTTTTTTTTGAGATCGTACATGTCTATAATTTAATTAGCTTATTTCAATCTCTGGAAACTATATTGTGCCGGATTGGCCACTGCCTATTCACGCACAGGTACCTTCTTAGAGGTCTAGAAACACACCCACATTCCAAAAGTGTGACAACAGACCACAATCTGAAAACCCCTATTAGTTGAGTGTCATCAGTTTAAACAAATCCGACAAAAAATAAAATTAGTAACGACAATGAAGATAAAGTAGATACTCTGTTGAAATACTTAATTGCAGAGGCGCTTACAAATAAATAAATAAAAAAAAAAAAAAAATATATATATATATATATATATATATATATTTAAACACTGTACATTTGTTCTTTATTTATATATTTGTTTATTCCTCATATTTATGTTTGCTATGAGATAATATTTATTTATCTTAATTATATTCACATAGATATGGTTTCCATATGTTTTTTTTTCTTATTGCGCAGTAATTATATGTTTATCAAAACTGTTAATGACATGGTTTGTTGGTTTGTTAATCTGATGGTTGTTAGTTATTTACCAATTCTATTTGTATGAGAAAATCCCTGAAAACAAACAAACTAATTATTATTATTAATATTATCATTAATTTGCAACTTGCATTGCATTTCAGTAAAATGTAATTATTAACATTAAAAAAGAAATCACAGCCTAAGATTTTGTATACTTTTTTTTGTATCATATTACAATTTTACACGTGTTATAATCAGCTACTGCTCTGTCAAAAATGTTAAGCTTATATCAGGAAATCAACAATCGAATATAGCGCCTAGTTTACGCATCAAAATCACGCCACTTTGTAAATTATCTTAATATAAATAACAGATACTCACTCCTATTAAAACAGTCATAAATCATACAAATTATTCTTCTATTCTATAAAGAAATTAAGTCTGTGAAATCGTTATACTGAATATTGCATCTTCCTGGGCTTCTACAATGTTTAATTTATTTTGTTTTTTTCAAAATCAGTCTTATTCCTTTCTTCTCGCTCTAAACTGACCAAAACATGGCATAATCTTTCTTGGCCCATTTTAGCCTTCAAATACGAAGATATTAATTTTAACATACTGAAAAATCGTTCACAACTTGGGATGGATAATGCGATTGTGCGCACAATTTGTGTGAAAATGCGCAGATTCGGAAAGACGCTTTATTATACCACATAATAAATTTAAGTAGCTCTCCAGATTTATTTATGTCAACTTTTTTTCTTGCTCATATTAGCTTTCAATCACCAATATTTCTTTATATAAGTGTTCTCTATTAGCATCGTATAGAAATTCTTAACATTTCTTTTTTTAGTTGCCAGTGGCGTAATACAGTTTTTTAACATCGCGAAGAAATCCTAATCTGACGTCAGTTTCATTGAAACTTCTAAGCAACATCGATTTGTAGGGTATGGCGTAGATATATACAATTTCCTACCTGCTCTGACCTTTTTCCAGCGTCCTTCTTCATCGATATGAGACTTTTCCATGAATAATTTGTCCACTGCATAATTGAGTACAATTCATCGTGTAACCTCACATTCCTATATATTTCTTCTCATTCCCTCACCCAATGTCACATAAAGGAGTAAATACTGGGGATGTCTACTACACACCATTGGCTGTTTCATGAAACCAATCCTTATTCTTCGTTTGACTATATCTTCAAAAATGTTTCAATCGAACCGCGCCGGATATGTAGGCGATCGGAATTTTAATCATCAAAGCGAGGGAAACAGTTTTCATTTAATCGCTTATTTAAAGCGAAGATCAATTGGCAAAATTCCACGGACCTGACTGCGCTACCAAATCTGCCTAACCCATCGGCTTTCTTGTCCTTTCTATTTCATATTAAACTTCAGTTCATATTTCTGATTGACTGTCACTCATCTAACTAAGGGTTTAGTTTAAAAACCACACCCAAACACCTATTTTAAATGTGAACCGAGCTTACTTAATGTGAGCCTTTCTTGTGTGCTTAAGGCTGTCATCTAACTACTATTTTTCCAGTTTATATAAACAACAATCAAATTCTTTTAAGCAACACAATCTTAGATTTATAATCGAGAGATTGCGACACAACTACAATTTTTTAATAAAATAACAATATAAACTAATAAAGAAAATTCACTGTATGCCAAATAAGATTGAAATATGTCCAGAGAAGTTAAGAAAAATAATTGTGTTATTTACGGAATTAGACCTAAGGAAAAGGAACGAGATGAGCACTAAATAACACTTGAAGACAAAATTACAAGAAAAAGTAATTCGCTGAAGAAAGTAATTGAGTTGTATTGAATCCTTAATAGTTGACCGTTGTATTATAAAGGAAGGAGATGGTCCGGGGTGGCGGTCATAAATAGGCTAAATAGTGGCTAAAATATTTTATTAAAATCAAATGTTTCTCAGTTCTAAGTGAAACTTGCTGAACACTCCTCCCTGAAGAAGACCTGCAAAGTCGTGTCGAAACGTTGGCTTTTAATACAATAGTCTTGCCACTATTTAGTATATTTATGATCGACACCCCGGACCATCTCCTTCCTTAATTGAGTTTTAATTTATCTATTTCAAATTTTGACACTTCACATCAATAATTGTCTTTTCTATTCCTACTAAACATGGTATGATTTCATCTTTATATATAATTATCTTATGCAAAATTTGGCCTGGACATGAGAGGAGAACAAATGAATATCTGAAGACAAAAAATAGAAGAAAAAATCATTATTTATTTTTTTGGTATTATTTTAATGGAATTTACAACTGTATTACATAGAAAATACAATAAGTAAATGTGAAATTGGTAACATGACATGTACAACATGCAGAGAAACTACACATTGTTAGAACTCAAATGTATATATTAAAATATTTAAGTAAGAAAGTAATTGGAATTTTTAATTTACCTGTTGCAAATGTTGAAACATTACAACAATACAAATTAATATCTCCCTATCATATAAAAACATGTTTAGTGACTTTAATATTTTATATTATTTTAGTATTAGGAGAGTAGGAGATTACAGGAACTCTGCGATTATTTTAGAAATTATACAGCTGTTCATTTAATTACTTATGGGTTAAGCCCATGTTACCTCCTACTCTCCCATTTCAAAATAAAGATTTTAGACTAAAAATTTCTGCGGGAAATGTTTTTTTTTTTTATGCTGATATAAAATAATACAATTTGAGCAACGAGTAGTGCAATTAAATGAACAGTTGTATAATATGTAAAATTGAGATTGGTGTATTATAAAATATTAAAGAATAACAATATAAATGAAAGACCATACACCAATAATTTAAATGCCTGATAATAATCAAATATATATAAATGAGTTGACTGAAGGATACTTGACAACAATAATTGTATTTTCTATTCATACAAATCATTTTATTGATAAAATCTCAATTTGATTACTAAAGAGTATTGGTTTTAAATTGTAGTTACTCTTCGGGTTAAATGCTGTACCTCAATTCTAGCAGTTAAAGTTGGTTCCATCTCATTTTTTTCTCTGCTTGTTCTGTCCTTTAAGCTATCTCCTAATTATGAATTATAGGCCTCCTCTCTTCTGATTGGCGTTCCTTGATTGGAACAGTTCTCCTGCCAATAATCCCGCTCCCGGTTTTGATATCGCGAAGTTGGAACTCGAAGCCGATCGAGGTCTGAACCGCTCTGGAGAAGCAACTTGAAAATCCGGTTCTTGCCGTAGTTATCTCGACAGAGCTATTATGGCAGAGGGCCTGCGACCGCTGGTATCACGATAAAGACAACCCCTTTCCACCAGGCGGATTTGCTGAAGGTCGATGGATCAACTCTTTGATAGGCCCATTTGCTTATTTAGCTTTCCTAAACCTTATTTATGATCAAGGCATCGAAGTAGAAGAAATCTCACGAGGACTCAATCCCATGAAACTCTTTCGAATTCAAAGTAAAAAAAAAAAAAAAAAATACAAGTCAACATGAAATTCAATCTTAGAAGTAGACGCGAAAACCATTTAGCCTTTTTCTTTCCAAATTACTAAACTCAGTTTGATAAAAAATCATGAAGTCATTTATCATTAAAAAGGGACGTCAAAATCACAGTAATTATTAAGAAAAAAATATAACCTTTACCGATTTTTTTTTCATAGTACTCTTTTACGTATTTTTAGCTGCAAGGATGCCCAGAAGGTTGTTTTATGGCACAAGTTACGCCATTAAAAAATTTGAAGGGTACATTTTGAAATTTAGAGGGGGGCACATTTTGACGGAGTTATGAATTTTCGAAATGAAAAGTTTCAAATCAGGTAACAAGGAGAATGCATGGACGAGACCACAGCAAGTGTAATTATATATGATCTACGAATTTTCTAATTCTATATTTGCTTACACAGTTTTTTAGAAGAGAGAAGAATTTCTTGGGATGGGGAGTGCGAAATTCCTGCCCCATAGACCTTAAAGGGATGGGCACCGCTGTGAAGCTCTACATATGTCTATTTGTACTTTGAGCAGGTTGTCATATATGTTATTTCTGCCAATTTTTATGATTAATATTGACCTTTAGATAATGGTGTTCACCATTTATTTCGGTTTTACTTCAAAACCGAAATAAAACCTAAAATTTAATTTGCAAAAAAAAATTACAAAGTTAATTTAATAAAGGATTTGTTCCATTTTTTACAGTGTCATATAATTTGGCATCCTTTAGGTTACGAAATCCTTTATTCTTGATGTTTAGGTTTTTGCAAAGACATTCCTTTCAATACCTTTCTCACTACTCCATTTTGGAACGATTGTAGTCGTTTTTCCGTAGGCTGTGTGATCATCGAAAACAAATGGGGTATCCATAAAAAAGATTTCGACTTATTATCGTTTTATAGATTAAAATCTTTGAGCGCATCGATACTTTTCTGAAGAATAATTTATTATATAGTTAAACGTTTTTTATTTTTTTTTATAGAAGTATGCCGGATACATTAAACTTTGGTCCAATGTAACTCCTAGATAAATACTCTATTTTGAAAAATAAATTTCCCAGTTTGCTATTTTAAATTTTAGTGGTAGTTTGTTCTTCCTTTTCTGGAACGAACAAAAAAAACTACCCATTGTTTTATCGGGATTGGCCTCAATATTTAATTTACTCAATTTTATATATTCAATTTGGAATACTTTGGTTTGTAATCGAAGAAGCTTCTAATCGGTTCTATCGAGTAATGCCGTTGTTTTTCATTCATTAATATTTACCATTGTGTTGTACGATGTTGGTAAAAGTGTTTCACAAAGGCAGGAAGTCCTCCGACCAAACGGCATTGCGAAGGTAAGCCCCAAGGACTTCGGCTGGGGAAGCCCCCGTTATTCATTGCAGTGGAACTTATCGTCGTATATCCTTTGTTCATTTCTTAACCAGATGAAGGTATTTTCTTTTTGTACAAAAAATCGGGAACGGTGCTTTCATTTTTTCTGTTATTCAAATTTATACTTAATTTAATTTATACTTTTTTAACTTGATAAAAATTGTTTTATTAATCAAATTTGTGGTATTTATACTAACTAATGCTTTACAGTTCGACATAGTTGATTACATTAGATAAGTCCATATCTAGATGTCCATGTAATGTTATATTTAAAAACTAACACTGATAGTTAATTTTTTTAATAATTCTATTGCATAAAAAATATATTAGTAGATGAACAAATAAAATAATTATTATATATATATATATATATATATATATATTTATATATTAGAGATAAAAATATATAACGTTTCAAATATATTAACCTGTTGTGTTAATATATTTTAATAATTACTTGTATTACAACTATTTTATAAAACGCCTCAAGTCGGACAATTTTTACTATTGTTAAAAACTAAAATTAATAGTCCGTGGTACAGATCCCTTCTTATCAAATTATTAAAATCTGCCCGAAACTTCGTAATTAGCTTCATCTCATCGTAACCTAGAAATAAATATTTACGAAAATTATCTATTAGATTTTGGGATGTTTTCAATCTGGAGATCGGCAAAATTTGTCTATTAGATTACGTGACCTATATCCCCAAATTGTCAAAATAATGAGGCTATATATAGGTCGAACTGCCCAATGTTTTTGTAGGCCACCTTCTTACTATATGTGGAAAGAAAATGGATATTTTTTATGGATGATATTTAGGTTTTCAGTACCTAATTAAATAGACAAATTGTGCCGACCTCCAGATTGAAAACGCCCCAATTCCGAAACTTTTCGTAAATAAAATATTTGTAGGTTACGATGAAATGAAGCTAAATACGAAATTTCTGGCGGATGTAAATGATTTGATAAAAAGGGGTCTGTATCACGGACTATAACTAAAACTTTTGAGTTGACACTATTTTATTGATTTGTATAACATTCTTTGAAAATAGAGAAAAATGTCACCAAAACTCTTTTCCTAAAAAGATTCACAGAAGCTGTAAAAATGGAACTTTTTAAAAAAAAAATCTGGAAACTCATCTACAATAGTAGAACAATCCCTCATCAGATAATCTTATTTATCATTAATCTAAATTCCAGGCATAATGATGAATATTCTACGAAAGTGTCAAACAAATTCAATATTTGCCAATAAAACCAATATGACCAAAAAAGTGTGTTTGATGCAATTGCTGTTACAGCGATTACTTGCCCTTCCGTTATCAGATGCGTGAATTTGGAAAGTATATGTTTTATATTTTGCTGTGCAACTTGTTGCGAATACACACAATCATTGAATAGTAACTTTGTCAGAGATTCCTGTGGCATACTCTAACCAAACCTCATCATCGGGGATGACATCTATTAAGGCAAGACCTCCTGGTCTGGTTCAGTGACCGGGGGCGACCAAGGCCGGCTGGTCAAGGCAGTCCGGGGAGAAGCCGACTTGTTACCGAGCCGCGGTAGTTATAACTAGTTAGGGCTCTTCCACAACCTAGCCAACGCAACGGAATATTCCAAACCCACTTTATAGCAAAACAATAACATTCGTCATCGGGAATTCAATACCAGACGAGATAAGGTGATAATTAACCTCTGAAATCAACTTCTACGATAGCTTTTTACCGAGAAAAAGGCGATTACGAAAACAAACTCAAAACAAACAACCTATTTTTTATTATTTTCAACTTTCAATAAAGATATTCAAAGTCCGAAAGCAGATTTCCAACTGTTCATAACCTATTGTCAAATTTCACAACATATCTTGGATACAAATGCTAACTATCAAACATAAAAAAATGCGATTTTCATTCATGCGCTTCTGAAACTGCATACTGTGGCAAAGTCTCGGACCCGAATTGCTTTTGCTAAGGACAGAAACAGGAATTGCAATGCATTGAAAATGTGGTTTGTTTACTGATTTTCTTTGACTAAGTATTGAATACAATTTTCACCATTCTACAATAAAAATTTTTAACATCCATTTAGATCAAAATGTTCCAAAATATTGAATGTGTCATATTCATTACTTTGATCTGTTTTGTATCTGCACAGAAGATCGTTGTATTTATTCTATTCATTGCAAAACATCGAATACTTGATTTACGATTGTTTGACGTGGTTTTATTTTTTTAGTTTTATAATGCAATTTTGTAGCAAACTCTTGATATTCTTTACTTTTCATTGACAATTATTTACGGATTTGTCTTAAATTATGAAATGCAAATTAGCAAATATGCCATATTCACACCAGTACGCATTGCAAAAAGAGAAAAATTTCGGTTCGATCTGGAGATACATAATGGTATATAATTCTGGAAGAAAAAATTATATAAATTGCACTTTATGGAATAAAAATTTCGTTTACAATAATCCTACAATGAGATTAATATATTTTTCATTTTCACCAGAGTAAAACTGTTAAAAAAGCTTTTAATGAATTATTTTTTTAAAGCATACTGAAGAAATTTAACTTACATAAAATGCATTGAAAACAAAAAAGCCGACTTTAGAAATGAACTTATTTTTTTTTTTTATTATTATTTATTTATTCCTTTTTTGGATTTATTATTATGCGTTTTTACGTGGAATTTAAGTTACATTACATCGATTGGGGTTGAACATAGAAATAAGCGACTCATTAATTATTTTTACAAATCTAGAATATAGATGGCACAACATTTTTATTTAGCCAATGTGGTTTCCTCAGAATAGAACATATATATTTGTTTCGCTTTTCAAAGAAAATAGCGTCAAAGAAAAGAACAGAATGGCGATATGAAAATATTTTCATACTTTTTTAATTCAGAATATTAATTTGCATTCGTTTACTAATGTTATATATACATATATACATATGCATGTACAAATAAAGTACATTATTTAAACTCTGATGATGAAGGAGATCTCTTAAACGTCGATTTGTAATTTTTTTTTTGATAAAAATGTATTATAATGGAACCAATGTTTCATTGCGTAATTATATATATATCTGAGTATATTAAAATATACTTCCGATAATGATGCCTTATAAACCATTTTTACTTTCACTTACGTATATATGTAATATATAGTAAGTGTAAGTATTGCGATCGAGAAAATTTTTGAATCTGAGTTTTCAACGGAAATAGACGTTTTGAGGTATCCTGAGTCGAAATGACCAAGTCCCGAAAAATGGTCTGTGTGTTTGTATGTTAGCAGTCTTGCTCAAAAACGAAAAGTCCTACGAAACTGATATTACGTATTTAAGATAGGTATATGCCTTAGATGTGATGGCAACTTTTTCCTTAAAATCGGCTAACCGGAAGAGCCACTTTATATCAACGCTGAAACACATTTTCTCAAAAACGGCTCAAACGATTTGATTAAACTCGGTGTATCATTGTATAATTAAGTGGTCTTTAATATCAATTAGGTCTTATCCCCATTGATGTCACTTTACAGGGCTTAAATGCCCAATGTTCATATACGTCTTCCTCTAAAGTACCTTAAATATGGTTTATTTTAAAAAGTTAATCATTTCAAATTATTTAAAGTAATGAAAAAATGCTAAATATAACTTTTGAAAGAATTTGATAAGTTAATAGAGAAAAAAAATAGCAGAAAAACCTACGTTGCTACAGACTGTAGCGCCTAAATGGATGTACAGATTTCAATGAAACTTCGCTATAGTCATTTTCTAGAAAACCTTTAAATTTATCTATATAACATACTTCAACGAAAAGAAGCTGGAAAAAAGTTACGAGCGACGGTAAAATTAAATTCCAAATAACTCAAAAAGTATACACTTTTTTGGTGATATTGTATATGGTTTTTTTTAAAGTTTATGGAATTTTCTAAAAAATTGTTAAGATCGGACAACTAGGAGGAAAGATATGGTCTCTAGTTTTTTTCCCTGAAGAGGCAAAAATTTGGATAAATTAAAAATATACTATTTTAATTGTTGAGACTAAAAAAAACTTTTTTTCTACAGATATTTAATAAAGTATCTTTCCTAAAAACATTTTTCATAAGAAATAAGTACCTAAATTTATACCTTTATTTTCTGTTCTATTTGAGATATAGAAAATAAAATAAAATAATATATTTAATTTTATTGTTATTTTGCCGCCAACTCTATTCTTACGGAGAGGGAGGAAAACAATTCTGCAAATTAATTATTATTCCTTCAACAAAGCGTTATTCCTAAAAATCGATACTGTAATTAATTCAATTGTTAACAGGAAATTACAGATTCCGAGAACACATCATCCCTTCCACTTCAACTGTATTTCCAGAATACATTTTCAAATACAATTAACTTGGAGTTAAGCAATTAACAAAAACCTTCACTTCTGTGGTATTTATTTTAATTGTTTCAATTTAAAATGCCATGATTCCAGAAGACTGTCGAACAAATATATCATATATCTTTTTTTTTGTACTATCTTGTATAATTGGTTATATTTCATTTATCTTTTAATAAATTTGGAAAATGAAATTTTCCTTTGGTAAATTTCTGATTTTAATGCTTTGTCTTAACTTATAGCAAAATCTAGTCGCTATAATGATGCAATCGTCGGAAATCTACAACGAAAAAACAAACATATTGTTAACAGTTTCACAATAGTTTTTTGGAATTATTGTTCCATTCTGTGCCAGAGGTCCAATTAACCAGAGGTCCACACTACTTTTATACTGTTTGGATGGTTGGTACAAAAATAATAATAAAAAAAATTAAAAAAATATATAAATAAAAGGATTGAAAGAATAAAATAAATAAATAAAAATAATAATAGACACTTATAGATAATAAGATACAATATATAAATAAATAAGCTTTAATAAAATAGCAATAAAATCAATAAATAAATTGAAATTAATAAACAAATGAACTTTTAAAATAAAAAAATAAAAAATAATAATAATAAATCTGCAAAGGATCATTAGTCATAAACCTGGTATATACGTTGTTTAAGTCTTTCATTATCTAGGAACTTGATAACAGTGGTAAGGATTTCTTCTTGATTTCTCAGGGGTGCTGATATATTCTGGTGTATTCCGGGATCTTTTAACCTTGCGGTGTAAAAAGAGCACTCTTCCAAAACATGTTTTATGGTTAATGACTGGTCACACTTTTGACATTTGGGAATAAGATCTTTTGTTATGAGGTGGAGGTGTGTCGGTCTCCTCAGCCGCGTGAGGACCACGAGAGCTATTTGTTACTGATAAAGTTCATAATTTTTTTTTCTTCGTTTTTACTCATATTCCACCATTTTTGCCATCACCATATTCTAACAAGAATGGAAATTTCCTTGATTCGTATTTATGTTCATGATGCAAGCCCCAAAGAAATACATTTAAGATTAAAAATGAACTAGAGATGTTAATAAGTAGAAATAAGTATCATATTCAAAAACCAATTATTTTATGAAACAATAGAAGAGATGAAGAATACATACATGAATAAAACTAAAAAAAAAAAATAATACTTAGTTTTTCATAAATTCGTTTAAAATCATATGATGGTTACCATGACTTTATTCTCACAATCTTACAAGAAATACACCTACATATATATTTATGTGTGCGTGCGTGCGTGCGTGCGTGCGTGCGTGCGTGCATGCGTGCGTGCGTGCGTGCGTATGTGTGTATTTGCATATATATACATATTGGTATAATGGCATATTGGTGTGTTGAGTACCCACTGGTAGCACTCTAAAAATGTATTTACAAATGAGATCTCGAGGCCATCTTCTTTTCAGACGCCTCGAAGGGTAATAACAAATGTAATTTGATTATTAATAGTGGATTATAAGTAGGATTCTCTGTAACCCTAACCTTTGTACCTCGACCTCTGGAGATTATTAGTATACATACACAGTCCATGTATAAATATATAGATGGTATAATTTTTAGCGTACATAAAAAAAAATATGAATAAATTAATAAATATCTTAAATAGAAAAAAAAGCTATATAATTTACATAAGAAATAGAAGTATGAAATTTATACATTCTCGGTTTTTAGCAAGAACTCTTTTTAAGTGACATTTCATAGCCTTAAATCACTAAGAACTACGAGATGAATATTCTCTCTGTGAAATGAAAACACTATACACTTTTTATAGTTATATTTGATATATTGCGTCATTTTTGTGCACTTATTTTGTGTATTTTTTGTCGAAAAATAAGGTCGAAATCCACAAAAAAAAGTTCTTAAAAGTCCAGCTCTATAAAAATGTGCTTATTTATTATTTTTTTTTTTTGCAATAAAGCGCACATATAGAACTTATAAATAATCAAATAGAGTTCAATAGATAGTTTATTGCAAGCCTGACCTTTTAAGTATTAAACCATTTGCCCTATTTGTGCTTATTCAACAGCCATCGTCCCACGCTCAGCTGTGTTTCTTGCCGGGCAAATATCTTTTAAGTCCATATTGCATTTGCTATTGTTGAGAGGATCCCTTATGGTATATTCATGGAGGCCTTTTGCA